TTTTTTTTTTTTTTTTGGCTAAGTTGATAACTCGGAAATTTGAAAAGCTAAAGGACTGTAACTTTAAGAGGATATTCTCCGTTCACCTAAGTCTCACTGAGCTCAAACCCAGACTCCGGGTACGTGTGGTAACCACATACGGGCCCGCCAAATTTTTTTTCGGGTAAATTGCCAACTCAGGAGCCTGGAAAGCTACAAAGCTTAAATTTTAAGGCGGAGTTTCTTAGTAGTTCTGGCGGCCAATTTTAACTTGTTTAGCTAGAAGCATTTGCCGAAAAAACCGGTGCCGGTAGCGACAAAAACTACGGGGAACTATGCAAAAAACGCAACTTCGCACGGGGAGCCCGTGCGTTGGCCAATTATTATGTTTCAGTCAGGAATCAGTGGCGTGTGCAAGCAAACTCTTTGCCAGTTTAAAGTTCGGCTTTCTTTTACAGAGAGTTGGAAAGGTTCTTCCTTGTTTTGTTGTACGCTTCTAAGTCTCCCGTCATAAACCGGAGCGATAATTTTTCAGCATTTCACAGTTTTCTTTTTTTTATATGAATTTTCCTGCGTTTTATAACACATTTGTCGCTGAAAAGGGAACCACGATTTCCTCTTTTGCCTTTGAATAAGCTAAGAGTAAACAGGAAAATTTTGGGATCCCTTTTTGTCAGTTTTGTATCGAACTTCGAACGATGAGTGAAAGAGATGAATTATGAAAGAATATACGCAGTTGAGCCACGTTTCTACTGAAATGATTCTCGCGAAGAGTTTTTAAAATAACTGGTAGAAAGGACAATATGCAGATGGTGTATGGATAAGTCATGTTTCGAAGGAGGCCAAACAAAAACAAAAAAAAGGAAATTTGTCAGAAAGTGTCGTACCTTGATTCTTTACAGCGCCGCATCACATCCAATAATTGTCAGAAGTCTCAAAAATTTGCAGAAAAATACTGCCTTTTCACGTCAGCAGAAGCTGAAAAAATTATAGTAGCGTTTGTACACCTCCGAAACGGTAATTTGTTAACATAGCTAAAAAAATCATACTTTTCAGTGCAGTGCCTGCGTCAAACAAGAAGTATATGCGCTTTCAACTAACTAATGAGAAGGTATTTTGCAATAATTCAGCTAAGAAATGAATGCAAACTCAGTGAGGCTCTGTGAAGGAACGTTCTGCGAGATGCCACATTCAGCAGTTAGGTGAACAGGAGAAATCATTACAAGGGAACTCTAATTTACTGGCTATGGTCGCAAGCTTCTCCACAAAAATTCGTCTTCGGACAAGGGAATAGGATGAAAAGATGGCCAGAAAGACCTTTCTTTTTAGAAGTGTGTGGCTTCAGCAGCGCATGTACCTGGTGATGGTGGTCAAAGTTTCCACAGTACTGGAGCTGAATGACTCCGCACCTTTCAAAATAAATTTATTTAAAACAAGTTCGTGTGGCATAAGTAGCATAAGTTGCAGTAGTATAAGTAGCATAAGCCAATTTCAGTAGCATAAGCGAATTTCAGGATAACAGTTAATGTGCTACTACTGAGTATTGCAATCACCGCGCTAGTTTATGCTGAATTGGTGGAAGACGGGGAAGACAAATTAAAACAAAACAAGCAGACTGAATTAAAACCAGAAGCAAAACAGAATGAAATACTGTCGGTAACTCGAAAGGTGCCAAACAAGAAGAATGCAAAAGCGCGGGAAGAGCTCAATAGGGAAAAAACAAGAAAGGGTAATGGGAAAAAGCACAAGGAATTATATTGCTTCTCGGGTACGAGTACAAACACCCTTCAGAAATGTGTGGAAGGTGTACGTTGCTACAAGCAAGTCACTTCAGCCGGTGAAGTCGTAAGTTTTCCACTTCTAAAAAGACAGCTCTGTTTTGCGCAAGAATGCAAACCCCTGCGCTGGCAAAATAGCACATCCACGGTACCAACGACTGCGGCTGCCCGTGAGCGTTGACTGTTCTGTCTGTAAGCATTTCGTGAATATCTAACCTAAACTACCTTAAGTTCTTCACAGGTCAAAGCAGGCATTCACTATTTTTCTATTAAAACGAATCAACGAATCAGAAAATGCTTGCAGTCAGTGATGGGTTCAGAACGTGACGGACCAGCAAATTTGTCAGTTCTGGACTCAAAAGCTAGACAGTGGCCGGATGAATTGAACAGAAGAGAAAAAGAAAATGCATTAATTTTAAGAGCGCATGAAAGCTAGCCTAGTGTTAGCCTGTTTATATATGAGAACAATTCTGTACAGTATATTAGATGGGCGCGTCGGCGTCGATGTTGCTCTCCATGAACAGATATCAGCATTTTCGGGGTTTTTTTTTGTAATGGAATTGCTCCCGGATTGAGAGCAGTTGATACAACAAATCGAAAAGCCAAGTTTTCCCGGGCTAACCAGGCAAATTTGCATCTTCAATGCTTTTTTTCACGTCCACCACTTTGCAATAGCTCTCGATGTGCACTGGGAAAGTGTTTAGCACAAATGTGTTCTCAGCGAAGCATACACCAAAGATGAGAGCAAGCGCAGCAGTGTTGCTATCCTGTAATTTCAGCTGCGAGGCTGCGACAAGAAAGGCGCATCGTATTCGCTCTGTAAACAATTTAAAAAAGATTCGTGTGAGAAAGACAAGTACCACGGCCTGGTATGCTGCTGCAATCACAACAAATGCAATATCGCGCACGAAAAGCACTACTGTTTCGCTGTCACAGCACTGGCTGTCCTTTCCACTACTATGTTCACTTCTGGAGCGTAACCAATGTTCGCTTTCGATGCCCAGTAGCTCGTACGGTTCGAAGCATTGACCGTAACAATGGCAACTGCATTTTCTTCGGCCTGATCAAATTTCTGCAATCTGATGAACCCATGTCGAAAACGTCGTGATTTGAAATTGCAGCTGCGATTTCTAATTTATGCAGTATGTCGGACAATTTTGTTAGCGCATAAAGTTTAATTGAATTACGAAATAATTCATATCGAACTGCTTTGATTATTCAGTATCCATCGATTACAGCCCTTGGCAGTAGACAGACCTTAGCGAGGTCCAACGACCTGACATGCCAAACTTAAAGGAGGCGGCTAATAATCGCATCAGGATCCCGACTCAAACAGTATTCTGGTTACTTACGCGTTTTATTTTGTGCAACAGCAGTACGAAACGCATATTGTCACGGGGTTGTCTGTGTGTGTGTTTGTGTGTGTGCGTGTGTGTGTGTTTCCGCAGCAACTTGTCCACAACTTTCAACTCGGGAACCACAAAAGCTAGGAAGCTGAAAATTTGGA